TCCTAAATTTTCTCACTTAAAGTTTAACTTAAAGTTGACTTAAAACCAAAAAATCACTTTTTTAGAAAAAAAAGAAGGAAAAAAAAAAAAAAAAAAAATTCCTTTGCTGTAATAGTTTTTCATATCTAGATGATACCTACTTAAACCCCACACTTCTACACATGCATTGCGACACTTCTACACATGCATTGCGACACTTCTACACATGCATTGCGACACTTCTACACATGCATTGCGACACTTCTATACATGCATTGCGACACTTCTACACATGCATTGCAACACTTCTACACATGCATTGCGACACTTCTACATCATTGTAGTTGTGACAATTACAATTGATAAATGTTATATTTATTTGTAGAACATTAAATTTGTTCAGTTCAAAAGAATCATTTTTACTTGGAATAATTAGTGCAATGGCTATCCTTTTAATGGTAAATTTTTAATATTATTTTTATTAAGTGTTTTATTTAATTGAAATGAAATATAAGAAAAAAATTCATCCATTTTTACGTCTAGAATTTTTTGATTGGTGGTGAGAAGAATTTTTCTAATCAATATAAACAATTGTCTAAACAACTTAATATACTAGCATGACTATAACTTATTATGTATTTTTATATATACTATTGTTAATTATATCTTATAGTTTGTTATAATTTATGATTAATTATATATTTTATAATAATTATAATTTATTATGGTTTATTATATTTATTTATTATAATTTAGGAATTAAATTTATTGTAACTACCATTTTTTTCCAACAATCTTCAAGTATAAATAAAACTTTCTAACTTTTTAACAAAGCTTTTCCATTAGATTTCATTCTCTTTTTTAGTTTTTACAACTTTTTTTTTGATTCCTTTTAAAACTTTTATATTTTTTGCATTAAAACTTTCCAAACCATGATTTCATAACTGTTAAGTTTCTGCTTAATTGGTTGAACAAAACAATAACAAAAGATTTCTGGATCAGCCATGTACAAGTAATATTTGATTTCATGTCTTTCAGTTGCCATTTTGCATAATTGATGCTCTATCATTTGTCATTAGAAATATAATTAGAAACATTTTTAAATGTTGGTATTCTTATTTTTTTTCTATTATCAATAATATTTTTCACTAGAAATTTGGCAGAAAATTTTTTCTGCTAAATTTCAGCGTATATATATATATATATATATATATATATATATATATATATATATATATATATATATATATGTATATATATATGTATATATATATATATATATATATATATATATATATATATATATATATATATATATATATATATATATAATATATATTTGTATATATATATATACAACATTTTTGCTTAACTGAAATTGAAAAATTATATTGTTCATATCAGTTGTTTTTTTTTTGTTTAAAAATCTATATTCTTATACCCGGAGTTGCATCAAATATACCATTATACTACTATTGTACATAGTATAGTATAGTACAAATATACCATTATACTACTATACCACCAATATACCATTATACTACTAGTTACAAGAACATAACATGAACTATGATTGAAAATATATAGACATAAAGTAAATAAGTTATACCTTAAGAGCATTAGGTTTAAATTTCAACTAAATTGGATTAACTAAATATATGTGGGTATGTTAGTCTTTTAATGGTTCCCTGTGGAAATACAATAAATTCTAAAATTAGATTTTTGTGTTTTTTTTGTTTGTTTTTTTTTAATTTTGTTTTATTTCAACAACATACTGTGAAAGTTAAAAAATGCACTAAAAAATTGCTAAAAATTCTCAATAAGTCAAATTTCTCCAATATTTATGATGATATCTACTTATAAAACTTAATTTCCAGGTATTTAACATTATATTTGTTTATAAAACTTAATCTCCATCAAGTATTTATAATTATATCTATTTATAAAATTTATTCTCCATCAAGTATTTATAATTATATCTATGGGCATCCGCAAGGATGGGCTCTTGACACCTAACCCCATCCTTTCTCTCTTCCTGCATTTTCTAAATTTAAAAAAAAAAGTTTGTTATGGATCTGTGCACCATTTGTTACTATTGTATGGTTTCAGTAAAAAATATTTTTGAGTGATCTTTGGTTTCGGAAAAAATTTTATTACTTATTTGAACAGTTTTTATAAATTATAATAATATGTCAGTTCTCTCTAGATGAAAAAAAAACTGTTTCAGGACAGTCAAAGTAAAAGTATTGAAAAGATTTTTGATACAGTTTTAATCCATATAATGGAGGTTTGATAAAATTAATTTTGACAACAAAAAATTTTCCTCAACTAAACTTTGTTGCAAGTTGAAAAATTAAATTAAAATAATGATTAATAGAAATTTTAAAATTTACAATTATTTTTTTACACACTTAAAAAAAAAAAAAATAGGTAAAAATAACCTTAGGTTTATCATCTTTAGGATATATCATATATCATACCCTTTAAAGTAGAAAAATTTACCTTTTAAACTAAAACATTAAACCATTTAGGTAGCAAATTACACCATATATGACCATTTTTGGTATAATTTACATGAAAGTGGAGATACTAGTTTAGAATATGATCTAGAATATGATTCATTATGATCTTAAGTATCATTTGCTAACTAATCAATACCAACCTCATCTGTCTAATGATTTTAAAGATGACATTTCTGGAAATAGAAAGCATTATTTAATGAGTTCTTGGCTCAACCAATATACTCCTGTCATATTCACATAGAATTAAAGTTATCATGTTCACATAGAATTAAAGGTGCTTTTTAAGTATTTTTTATTTTATTTTTAAAACCAGTTCAAAGAAGAATTCAAGGTGCCATTATTACTAATCCTTTTATAAAGTATAATCATTTTGAATGTGCCAAAAACCATATCAGCTTAGCATGGCATTGTAGGGCTCAACAAGATGCTGAAAAAGTTGCATCAACAACAAGGGATCCGAATAAAAATTGAAACACCAGACATTTCAGGAACTAAACAGTTATCGCTGTGAGTTTTTAAATACATCTAGTGAGAAGGTTATTTTAGGTACATCTAGTGAGAAGGTTATGATCCGTGAGGAATTTCTTGAAATTTGACTGGTGAAAGATATGGATGTTGCCAAGATATGTAGTGTCATTCAAAACATTTGGCCTTCTCCATAATGATCTGCTTGGTTAAGGTCATGATGGGTGCTCCACAATGATTGGAAAGAAAATACTGTTTAGGCACAAAATTTGAAGGATTTACCCCAAATCCACCTTTGTTCCCTCTACCTCTTATGGACTCAATCTTGTAGTTAATACTCTAAATGATATTGCAGTGATACAAAATACCATTGGCACTATTAAAGCAATTTTTTTTTTTTGTGAAAGCCCAAAATAGAGATCTTCTGTTCCAAATAATCCTCTTCTATGTGAAACAAGATGGACTAGTAAGTATAAAAGTATTCAATTTTTTTGTAGTAAATTTAAAGATTTTTTGTAGTAAATTTAAAGATTTTCAACTGGAAGAATGTTCATTTTACACAAATGGAATTACTTGAAAAGTTGCACATCTTTATTTTTTATCATTCAGCACATTTATATTTTGTCTCCATATTATTTTGTAGTACTCTGCTATACTTAAACCAGCTAATCAGGCTCTTCAAGCTGTTTAAGTTGATCTTTTGAAATTCCAACTTTATATTCAAAAACTAATCAGCCTAGTAAAATATCACAGAGGTAAGTCCAATAACTGTTTCAGAGATTTTCGAGAAAACAGTGCAACTCGCATAGAAAATGAATATTGAACTGATCATTCCAAAATTGAAAAAAAAAAACATCAAAGTAATCCCGTTAACTTGTTGAAATGATTTACATTCCATGCTAAAATTCTCTATTTGGCTTATTGGAGAGTCGATTAATTAGCCAATAGTGCACAAATTAACTTAGTATATCTTCATCTGTCTAGATTTTGCAAACTGAATATAAAATTTTTAGGACAAAATTTTTACAACAAATTCTGAATATAAGATATATAATTTTGAAACTGATGCCCTGAGTTGGTTTGATTTTTGGAATGTGCAAAAATACATAAATAACCAAGATTTCATCAACTTATTGCCTTTTACACAATTTTATTTAAGTGGCAGGCATGTCTTACTAGTTTTGTTAGCTTTACCTTCAACAACATGTACGGTGGAGCAATCATTTAGCACATTACATTGTTTAAAAACGAGGCTTAGTTTATCAATGTCAAATGATAATCTGTCTGGTTTGTGCATGTTAAACATACTCAGATACTAAAGCAAATTGCAACAAAATAGACTTTGTAGATAAAATTGTTTGGTATTGATAACAGACAACTTCAGCTCTTCTTTAATAAATAAAGTTGATTTTAAATAAGTGTTGTAAATTATTTGCATGTACTATGTTTACTACATAGACTCATTGTATCATTAAAAAAACTGCTCCTATAGTATGTTGTTGTTTACAACAGGGTCCGTTTGACCATGACAAGTTTATATTGTCATCTTTGTTCTACAAAAATGTTTTAATTTTTTTTTTATTATTGTATATATTTCTCAGTTTTAAGTAAAAAAAAAATTACGTAAAAATTCTCCTCTCGTCCTTTCCTTCTTAGAAAATTTTTTGTACGTACCCATGATTATATCTATTTATAAAACCTAATCTCCATCAAGTATTTTTAATTATATCAAGTATATTAATTATAATTATATATATATATAAGGTTTCCAAGAAAGATCAGAAGTAATTTATAAATTATATCATAAAAATAACTATTTTTATACTTAATTCCATCATGTATTTATAATTATTCACATTTACACACTAATGCCTTATTTGCTATAAAAATTAAACATAATGTTTTTACAGCAAATGACTTCCTATATTTACAAACTTTCTTAACTACACTTCTTTTTGGTTATAAAAAGCATTCAAATTTGTAAACTGTGATGATCTGTAGTTTTTCTTCATTATTACATTAAAAGGTTTTTTCTAACGCCAAAGCCCGCTATTCTCAGATCATGAAATCTCGTAGTTCATCACAAAAATTAGGCTCTCGTGACTTCTGGAGAATCTTTAATAGTATCAATAATAAGGGCAAGTCTGTAATTCCACCTCTTTTGTATGGTTCAGACTTTGTCACCTCACCTAAAGACAAAGGTGAATTGTTTGCCAAGAACTTTTCATCAATATTATCTCTTGATGCCACTAGTTGCGTTCTACCTGATATAGCTGTCAAACAGGTTGATCCATTGCTCTACATTCGTATCACTCCAGCTTCTGTATCTAAAGTGATTTCCCACTTAGACTCATCTACAGCTTGCGGCCCGGACAACATACCTGTTATAGTCTTGCAGAAGTGTTCTCTGGAGCTGTCGTCTATCCTTTCAAAACTATTTAACAAGTGCTTATCAGAGTCTTGTTTTCCAGCCTACTGGAAAGCGGCATCTGTTATCCCTATTTTTAAAAATAGGGATAACAGATGCGTTTGATAAAGTTTGGCATGCTGGTCTCCTCCATAAGCTTTTTTCTTACAGTGTATCTGGAAACATCTTTAAGATTATTGAATCCTTTCTTTCCAATCATAGTATAAAAGTTGTCCTTGATGGACAGCACTCTTCTTCTTAATCTGTAACCTCAGGGGTTCCCCAAGGTTCAATCCTTGGCCCTATACTCTTTTTAATTTACTTTAACGATCTTCCAGATATTCTCACATCTTAGGTGGCATTGTTCGCTGATGATACTACCATTTATTCTTGTCACGATAAGAAGCCAACTCCCTCTGATTGCTCGCAGGGGGCATCTGAGCTTGAAAAGGATCTCACTTCTGCTACAGCATGGGGCTCACAGTGGCTGGTGAACTTTAATTCAGATAAAACTCAATTTTTTTCGGCCAATCATTATCGCAATAATTTAGACCTTCCTATATTTATGAACAGTAATGTACTCGATGAGTCTCCTACCCTTCATCTTCTAGGATTAACTCTTACTTCTGATCTTTCTTGGAAACCTTATATCAAATCCGTTGCAAAATTAGCATCTGCTAAAGTTGCTTCTCTTTATCGAGCTTGTCACTTTCTTACTCTGGATTCTATTCTCTATCTTTATAAATCTCAAATCTGGCCTTGTATGGAATACTGTTGCCATATCTGGAGCGGATCTTCTAATGATGCCCTTTCTCTTTTAGACAAGGTGCAAAAACGCATTGTAAACATAGTTGGACCTGCTCTTGCAGCCAACCTTCAACCTCTGTCACATCGTGGTAATGTTGCTTCTCTTTCTCTTTTCTACAAATACTATAATGGTCACTGCTCGAAAGAGCTAGCGTCTCTTGTGCCATCTACTAAAATCTCGTGTTACTCGTCATTCCATTAAATCTCATCCTTTTTCTGTTACTGTTCCTAAGTGCTCCAAAAACTTTTATTCGTCTAGTTTTTTTCCTCGAACATCAGTTCTTTGGAATTCGCTTCCTTCATCTTGCTTTCCTGATTTATACAATTTGCAATCTTTTAAGTCGTCTGTCAATTGTTATCTTGCTCTGCAATCTTCATTATTTCTCTTCCAGTAACTTCCAACACTAATTAGTGGTTGCTTGCAGCCTTGTTGGAAGCGAAGTTAATTAAAAAACATTAGAATTTACCATTTATGGATTACCTGGGAATAAAGTTCATCATTATAATCAGGTTGTTTAGTTGCAACATTTGTTTCAGGTTGTATATGTATTGCCACTTTCCTTCCACTTCTACTTTATCCTACAAGAGTTTGGATATTGGTTTTGATCATGTATTAAGTGTCACATATTCATATGTTTCACCTACACCTACTTTTTTGCTGATATCAAACATTTTACAAGAATTCTTTTCAATCTTTCTTGACAAAATTTTCATGTTTTTTTAAAACTTTCAGTTGCATTTAGACTAAAAATAAGTTAATTTGTGAAACATTTTTACCAGACCTTTACCACACTCAAAGTTTGGCAACACAAAGTTCTGTGCTCCTTGTCATTGTTTCTAAATATTTTTATCTATCTCATATACCTTTTTATCAACCTCATGATGATCACATTTTTCTTTCACTCTGCTGCATCAATACCATTACCAGAACCAAATTTTTGATTAGACTGTATTAATTTACTTCATACATTTGCAGCCATTTTTCTTTATCCTAAAGTACTTGTAAATGATATACCAGCTACATCAATCAATCAACTTATGTTTTAATTCAACTTTTATTTTAAAAACCTAAATTGAAATGAAACCATGGTAAAATCTTGTTAGTTTATTTTAAATACCAGAAAATTTTATTTCATAACTCATATGAACAATAAAATCACCCAAGTTTGAAAAATAAAGCCTTTATTTTATTAATAATGATATTTATCAATAATGATAATTTTTTAATAGATTACAGAATACTTTGGAATATCAATGGAATTAGGATGCTACTTGTGTGGTGCAGTTATGAGTTCTATGGGAGAAAAAACAATACATCAGGTTATTTAGATATATAGGTTTTAAAACTTTATTTACTACTACTATCTACTAACACATGCAATAATTTTGTAATAAAATCAGGTGTATGAACATTTTAAGTTTAACACAATAATTAATACATATTTAACACAATTTAACATAAGAAATAAAATGCAAAAAAAAGAAAATATTGTCTTCGTTTTTGTTTAAAACATGTAAAAAACAAAAAATGAATAAAATGAAAAATACATCATGTGCCAAACCAATAGCACACACACCATTTCAGCAGGTTTTAGAGATTATGAAGACGTACAAATGTATCTAACAGTCATTCTTTTTGCCTTTCTTCATAACAACCTGAATGCGACGCTTAGACATTGAGGAAATAAGAGTCTCAAGCAAAGATTTAGGGACTTTGTTCCATTCCATCTGGATGGCCATTTTTAGTTCTGTGACATTACTGTTTTGTTTTCCATTTGCATACAGGTGACAAGACAAGTAACCCCAAATGTTTTCAATTGGATTCAAGTCGGAAAAAAGGGCTGGATGATCAAACAACTGGATGTTATGTTCCGTTACAAATTCCATCACAGTCTTTGCCATATGTATCGATGCGTAAAGACAAACATATGTCCATAGTTGGCATGTCCATATGGCATTAAGTAATCAGAGAGTGTAATAATATAGTCTTCATCTGTTTGTTTCCTTTCTAAAAAGTTTAATTCAGGTAATCTAGCCTTGGAAATCACCCTAAATCAGGACACCACTACCACCATTTTGTCTGGACAAGAAAGTCTCTGGCTCTTTTTGTAAGTCATGCCAATAATATTGATATCCCTCTGGACCATAAAGATTAAATTTCTTTTCATCAGACCAAATAATTGAGCACCAATCAGGTGGACAAGACAAATGTTTGTTCGCATACACCATACGTTTCCCCATGTGATGTTTTTGCAACAACAGCATTGACATACACTTCGCATATCTCAGATGTCTGGCTTCACGTGACGTTCTTTGTATTGTATGTAATGAAAATCAATATCCAGCTGGGCGTGTATCAATTAGGCACTACAGCCGGTGTTTAAATCCACTTTTAGTAAGTGACGTTTGTCATTCCTGGTTAATTTTGAAGCATTTTGGTTGGATTTTGTTTTCAAATATGTATCAGGATCATTTAAAATCTTCTCGATCACCTTCCAACTTTGCTGTATATGTCTCAATATCTCAGACATTGATACACTGGCAGCCTTGAATGCCTTGATCATAGCAACTTTTTCAGCATTTACTTAGTTCCACGTCCCATAATAGTCCTCTGTAACACATATGACTAGTTAACATATGATGGTCCTTTGGTTTACCTCAATATTTGTATCACTTACCTAGTGTTAGCAATTCGTCTGTTGCAGTCAAATGCTAAATGACTGATGTGTGCTATTTGTTTGTCACTAGAAAATATCATATGGTCTATCTTATTTTGATGCGGAAAAACATTTGGCGCCAAAAGCGATGTTTCTTACTACTTCTCTGATTATGACTATATTTAGATATTTTAGTAATGAAAATAATATAAAATCAATAAAATATATTATAATTATTGTGTGTGCTATTTTTTTTTTGGTGTGGACTGTGCTACACTACTATTACTCCTACTCCTACTACTCCTACTACTACTACTACTACTACTACTACTACTACTATAAACGTAAAATCTTCAGCGTAATAGCCCTAATGTTTCATAAACTTTTCGGGTCAAAACCGTCAGGCTAGAAAATTTTTTTTTGAAAAAAATGATTTTTTTATTCAGATTTAAGATATTTAAATGTAATAAATAAAATTCAGTTTCATTTAAAAAGTTTTTTAGGTAAATTTTAAGCACCACGGCACAATGTAAGTACTGTTTTGTAACATTAGGGCTTTTGCCGTTTCTCCTTCGAAAATCAAAAGAAACAAAAAAGGGAATAATTGTAGCTAAATTCAATGGTAAATCCCTCTTATTATTTTCAAGTTCCTTTGTTTTCCCTCATTTTTCACTTAGAATAGCCTGTTACTACTATTAAACTTACTTTTTCAACTTTTTCAACGGCAGAGTAATAAAACTGAGGTGAAAATTTTGCTGGGTTTGTTTGTATTTCATGCATTTTATAAGTTTCAAAAATATTTAGTAGTAAGAGTTTATTTTTGTGTAATCTTGTTCCTCTCTATGAAAATGCAAGAAATAATTATAAAAAATTTAATTAGAGCATAAAAAATCAAAGTTTATTTTAAAATTACAGTTTTTTTTGTTGCAACATTAGGGCAATAACTTTTTTTTATATTTCTTTAGTCATATAACTTGTGAAATGAGATGTTTTATCTCCACACAAATATAAAATGGTAACTAAAAATATTTTTTATTAAAATTTTAGATTAATTTATAAAATAATTTTGTCCTGGCCATTTTATAGTTACATTTCATTGAGGATACTGGGGCTAGTTGGGCACAGACTTTAATGGAATCTTTGCGCTTCTCTATAGTCTCCTACCTAGAACTATTTTAAATCAAATCATTTATTCATCTTAACTATTATTAATTAGCTTAAGTGTCACTTAATTAATTTATAATTTAATATAGTTTTTAGGTATTTCAAGAATGCGCATAAAAGTTATTGCATCAATATCTTTTATGCGCACTTTTATACCAAAAAAAAAATACCAATTTTTTTTTTTTTGTATTTTTTATTTTGCTACAATATTGATCACCTAGACTAATAAAAATAGTATATTACTGTTTTTATACGTTCAATTTTCAAAAGATTTCAGTAGTAAAAAACAGGAGCTTATTGGCTAAGAACAGTTTTTATTCCTCCGTGATACTTCACTTCTTGAACTTTTTTTTGAATAAACTCATCAAATGCGGTAGGCTTGTTCTTATGAGTATACTCTCATTAAAATATCTATAAGTAACAATGGTAAGGAAGGCGGGACGGCACTCTGTGATAAGCAAAGCTTCTAGGAGCACTTTTATAATTAAACAGATGTATTTAAAAACAAAAAAGCAAAGGCTGTTTCAAACCGAGCATTACAGCTTCTTGTTATTTTGTGAAAATATTGACTTGAGGGGTGTTACTAAAACATTTGCAACTTTTGAAATATTTAAAATATCTTTGTTTTGTAAAAACAATAAAAACACCAATAAAATATTTCATCTTACGACATATTATACAAGAGTAAAAAAACTTCTTATAGTTTAGAATAGGCTCGACTAATGATGAACCTTGCTAAATTTTAGTAATTTGATGTTCATTTTTATAAGAAAAAAGTCAGAAAATATGTATTTCTGATATTTATTATCAAATGCATTGATTGTTTGACTATTGTAAAAATAAAAAAAAACCTTACTTAATAGGTTTTATGGAATTAATTGAACAATAAAAGTTTCTAATCGATTCCCAAAAAGGGTTTAAGTCAGGTAAAAAAATGTAAATTTCAATTTTAAAGTTACTTAACAGTTTTCTGTTTACAAAAAATTGTATAATATGTATGATGACATTAGGAAAAAATATTTCTGTATTACTTTAATAAATGGAATTATTAAAAACTACTCTGATCACCACTTTATATTAATGCTCAGTCAAAATGTCCTAGAGAAACCTGAAACAAAAAAAAATTAACTAATGTTTTTTAATTCAATAGTTATCAAACCTGTTTTTTTATTTTATTCCAAATTTTTATAGGAATCTATAAGACTACGGTTACTTTTAAAAGTTAAATAAAAAATAAAAGTATCTGAAGCATGAGTTTCAATTCTGGCTCTGACCAGATAAACAACATCGGTTTTGAAGGTGAAGATGTTGGTTAAAGTACTATTCTGCGGTGCTCTGTGATAAGACCGTGAAGTTCTTAGAGCACCTTAATAACTTAAAAAAAAAAGGTAAAATTATTTTTAAGTTATTAAATTTATTCAAACAAAAACCCGATACATAAACAATAGTGATAAAAATTTTGATAATTTATTGAATTTAAAGTTTATGAATAATCCGCTTTTTAAATTGTGTTCGACAGTGATATCCAAATTGTAAAACTTTATACGCAACCGGCACACCACAACAACATATTTTTATGTCATGCTAAATCTTTAGTATGAGGTAAACTCTACTTTTTTTCATCTTAAACTTCAACAGCGCTCGACCTGCATTTTGAGAACTCCACTTACAATTCTTAGACATAAGCCGCGGCTTGCCATTTGTTACCATCCTAACAAATCAAAAAATCAAACATTAAAATTCTGAAAAACAAAATTTCTCTAATAAAAATCTAGCAATTAAAATCAGGATAGGCATTTTTTTTTTTTTAACTTTTTATTAAACTGATAAATTTTTTAGTAAGAACTTAATTACTAATAATACTTTTAATAGTACTATTACAATAAATTTAAGTACTATTAAAAAAAAAATAATAATTCAGTATAAAAGTTGAATAATATAAGGTATATAAAAATGTGTGAATGTATTTTTATATTAATATAAATTATTAATTTTATTAACATGCAATACACACACACATACACACACGCTCAGACACACATAAACACACCGTGACACACACTTACTCACACGCGCGCGCAAAATTATTATTACTAATAGAAATATAAACTTTAACTTGGAAAATTTTTTTAAACTTCTTTTATTGTCCCTGGCCACCAGTATTAAACTTTGTTGCATATTGTCAGATTTATATCCACCTAAAAAGTCCTGAATAAGATATATATATTTTTTTGCACAATCTTTGACGCAAGTCAAATTTTAAACAAATTTTTTGAATAAATCTAATGAACTTGGGGCTTTTCCATCCTCCACAACTGTACTTCACCATCAGGGGCTTCTGCAATTTTTAACATAAGCCAAATTTCTGGACCAAAGTTTCCAAATCACAGTGGACTCCAATATGATTGGTAGCTCAGGTTTTCTAATCTTGAAGTTGAATCTCTTAGTTCAGTATGATGTTCCTTGTCAGGAACATCATACTGAACTAATCTATCCAAA